CACAGGAGAAGTATACTTGGGCAAATTGATGTGTGAATTTAAACCAGTGCAGTTATTCTGGTACTGCCTTCTGGGTGGTTAAAGTTAGTCTAGACCAAAAGCTTTTTTTTTTTTTTTCAACTTAGCATACATTACAAAAACACTTATGCTAATCAATTCTGTTCTAGGTTGAGTATTTACACCCAAAATACACAGACACTTCCATGGAAATGCTGAGATTTTTTCTTGTAGATACAGTTGCTCTAGGCACAGATTCTGCAAACACAGAACAAAAAGTTGGTCTGCATCCCAAAGGTTTTACAATCTGATCGCAAGTCCAAGAGATGACCAACTGATAGGTGAATACAGGGAAACAATGACTTAGCGAGGTTTGATCATCCTCATATTAACTGCTAAAACTTCCTTTATGCCAAAAAGTTCTCAGTTTCATTTTGAGGCCTTCCCGTTGTACTTTCTTAGCTGAACTGCATCTGGAAGGATTGTACTGCAGAATTTGCCCATGTGTTTTTCCCACAAATATGCTTTTTTTTTCCTACGTACAATAAAACAACAATTCAGCTCTCTTCCAGTGCGATCCAGAAGATCAGATCCAAACTACTCTCGAACTGATGAAGGGTCAAGCTGACAGCAGCAGGCTTTGGACCCAGCCCAGGCTGAGGGATAGTCCAGACTGACTTGCTAATTCAGGGCCTGATGCTGCAGTCTTTGATTACACTGGAATTTTATTACAATGACGGAATTGCACAAGTTAGAGATGGGAAAAATCAATTAGGTCATCTAGTCTATTTGTTGCCAGTGTGGGATTGTTCCCTACTGCACATGTTGTTAATGTTCTGCCATTACATCTTTTAAATATCTGAAGCATAAAGACATTATTGAAGATATTGGGACTGGATCTTTAAGAACCAGTTTATTTTTTTAAAAAGTACACATATTCTCATAGGTTCAACTTATTGTGAGTAAAGCATTTCTCATCATTCACTTCTTTTGGTTTATTTAGACTATGCAATTATAACCTTCTCTTTGTGATATTAACAGCTTTTGAAAATGCTCATGATGTTACAGAAGATTAACCTCCTAACTGAACATGACTAAAGCACAAATGGGTTATAGTAGGAAACACAGAAAAAGGTAACAACTGTCAGATCTGGAAATACGGAAAAGAGTAGTAACAGACACACACACATACTTACATACATCTGTGTGTGTGTTTGTGTCTGTGTGTCTGTGTGTTTTGGGTAATTTCTTACATATTTATGTCTCTGCATGCCTTGCCCACTCTGTGCCTGCTTCTAAGTTTGTACAGGGAAAAAAAAAAATCTGGGGCAAAGACTATCATGATTTGGGGTCCTGTACAGTGCCAAGAATATTGTTGGTGTTTAACAACTAGTAGACGTGTCGGATTGTGCAACCTTTACTCAAGATGACTGCTCCAGTCCTCTAACCCTTCTCCCTTCAGCAGACATTACTGACCCAGGTCTGCGGGGATGCTACCGTGGATACCTCCTTGGTGATGAAGTCTGACCTATGCTGTCTACACCCTGAGCAGCACCTGAAAAATAAGGATATTGTATTGGACACAGTATGCTTCATTTTCAAGTTATATATCAGTGGTAATCCAAGGCCTTTATTTCTTTACTGTGTTTCCCAAGTTGAAAAGGCAAATTAGTGACCCTTTTGTTCACTTACACAAACTATTTCCAGTCTAGAGAAGAATGACAAAGGGTTAGCATTCAGCTGTCCTGTTCACATGGCTAGTTTTTATGACCAGGGTGCCATTTCAAGCAAGCATAATATCAGCTATTATTTGGATATTATTATCTTATTTTGCATATAATCTGAGCATCTTGAGCCCACCTCCTTTTTCCCCCAATTTGTTAGCTATTCTGAAAACTGAAATTAACTTTTTCTAGCTATGTAAAGTTGCACAGAGAAACCGCTGGGCAGAAATTGCAATAGTGAAACCACCACACACTATTTCTCTTCGATTAACTTCTTTTTTTTAAACAAAAAAACACCACTTAGCTGATTTTACAGTCTCCTGCTGCTGGTTTTAACGTGGTTCAGTAAAACAGAGGGCTCAGACATCTTTGACTTCCCAGCAACAATACTGACCATCAGCCATTCTCCCCCTCCCCACCAGCTTTAATAAACCCCAAAATAGAGAGGCTCACAAAACCACCCTGGGAGCTGTTTCTGATTCACCCGTTTGAGTTGCAAGGAAATACTACGTCCAGCTCCCTTCACCGTGTGCGCTGCTGCTGGCTCCTCACGTCCCCAGGCCTGGCGAGAGGAGGCTTTTTTGCAAGCCCCCCCAGCGCCGATGCCGGCAGCCCACCGGCCGCAGGCCCGTGCGCAGCTGTGCGGCCCCGCGCAGCCCGGCCCGGCCGCTGGCTCTGCCTCCCGAGGGCTGATGTCAGCCTGAACTTTGCCACCGATATCTCATCAGGATGAGCGACATAAACAGAGAGTTGCACGCCAGAGTTTTGCTCTGGAACAAGCTCCTTCCACACATTTCAGCAACATAAATCTTCTCCTTTTATCGCAGAATGGCAGTAACTGTTTATGTGTTTGGTTTGTTATTGTTGTTGGGTGTTTTTCCCCCCCCAACGGAGCTGGCTTGCTGGGGTAACCTGGCTCTCCGGCATCCTTTTGCCCTGCCTCTTTTCAGATCCCATCTCGAGTCAAGGCACAGCTTTTGTTTTCTCCCGGTCTATGACTCTGCCCCTCTTCCACAGCAAATAAGCGACCTCGCCCGCCCGCCACTGGTCACTCATGCATACCCTGCCCTTCTGCTTGGCCCTCGGTCGGCACACACACGGCACAAGTCGGTTCCACCAAGGCTCTCGGGCGACCCGTGCGATCCCCGAGACTCCCAACACATCTGCCCCACGCGTCCCCGCTGTCGCAGGAACACATGGAAGGGAAGAGGCTGGAGAGGCAGCGAGCGGAGTTTCTCAGCCGTGCTTTGTCAGGGCAAGGAGAGGGAGTGCACTCTCCGTTTGTTTAATGTTTTCCTTATGTTTCTCGTGGAGCGTTTATTTTTTGACATGCTTTCTCTGCCCACTGGTGCTAATGCTGCTTGAGCGAGCTGGCTGGCTGGCTGCAGGTTGGCTCACACGCGTGTCCCGTCCTTTCTCCACAGCCTTGTTTATTTATGCCACTCGCCTGGCTTGCTCAGAAATTTCCACACAGGCACTAGCACACGAGAAGTCTCCATCTCCAACAAAACAAAACACTGAGGTGAATGCGCTTTCTTCATGTCAGTGTAGCCCCTCGGCTTGTCTGCCGAATGACTTTTATTTTATGCCTCTCTGGCAATCCCACCCCATCCGGCTCAAGTATCCTGGATTAGAAAGACTTTCCCCAGAGTCCTTTTCAAAGGGAGCCTCCCACAGACCTTTAAATCCCCCACATTTTATGGTACAGATATTTAACAGCTCTGAGAGGGGGCAGCGGGGGGGAGAGACTGAGGAAAACAGTTACAAATAGAGTGGCTGCTCCTCACACCACTGAGGTTCCTGATGCGATCAGCGTCGTTTTATCCGGCTTTCTCTCTCATCCCAGCGATAGCCACAGAGATAAGAAACGAAGCAAGAAAGGGTTCAGAGAAGTCGCCGGTTTTCCCCTGAATCAGCTTCACCTCCCCCTTTCTAGCCCTCTCCTTTCCCCCCCAAAAAGAAACCCTTGCCGGAGAAAGGAAACGCGATACCCTTCTGTCAAACAGGCGGCTGGGGGTGTGACCTGCGGGGGGGGGGCCACCACGGGCTGCTGCGGCCC